GGCTGAGAGTGAGCTTCAAACGTCCCATCCATTCCTCCTCTGGCTTCAATTTGATTGGCTTCTCAATTGCTGCCCCACTCACACTTACCATTCTCTTGTAGTCATTCTTTTCAAAATCTGCAATGGCTTTGGATTTCTTATCCCATGGGTTCCACACCACTGTTGAAACATGCAAACAGTTTATGCAAATCAGTTTTATACAACTATTATCAAAGCAATATCAGGCTAGAGTATAAGTCAATCTGTTTCTTGAGCAGCTCATGCTCACTCATGCTTTTCACATAGTGACAGATAACAACTATTGCCATGGGGGTGTTTATTATTAGGAATTTAGGATTCTCCTCTTCTAATAATAAACCATTTATGATATGGTGTTGCTTTAGATTGCATTTGAGAGGCAGAATGCTTACCAACATCTGGAAGTCCTTCTCTATTTATTTTCAAGGTTCGTCTCTTTTCATGATCTAACACTTCAATGACACCTTCTGCTTCCACATAGACCCTATCCACCTGCCAATTGGCAAAGCACTTGGTAAGGCACAAATCATGTCAGTCAACAGCTTATGATTATCAATTAGAAGTCACTCTGTCTTGCAATTTTTTGTTTTCTATCTGATGTCTAGACTTGAAACTTTTTGCATTTTTATAACAGCAAAACAGCATCAATTTCATAAAAACTCCTTGTTTTACCTCAGAATCAAATGACAAGGAAATTGCTTGCTCGGTTGAGCGCATCCCTCCTTTAAGGTTGTCAAGATAGTCACAAGTTTCCAATCCCTCTACTCTCACTTCACTGTTGGTAGGATAAATGATTTGTTAATATCAAAAGCTTATTGAAGATGGCACATTATAGATGATGGATAAACCAATAAAATAAGTTCACTTTCAGTTATTCTATTTCTAGCGTCATCAAAACAAGCCTTTGATCATAATATAATAACTAACTCTACCTTGTATCAAAACAAGCCTTTGATCATAATATAATAACTAACTCTACCTTGTATCAAGAAGCAAGCTTACATATCATAAGATTTTGGAAAAGCTTATGATTTTCTGTTACTGTTTTTCTAAGTGGCACTAGTATAACAATCAGAAGTTAATAAACAAACCATGTTAAAGCATTGCAAAGTACACTACTTCTGAAAAAACTAGACGAGATGGAAAAAGCAGGTAGGAGTTCAATTGTGAGACATGTAATTTCTATTTCAGTGCTTGCTATGCTAGAAGGGCAGATCCATTACCCAATATCAGAGACAGCCAAATACGCGAGATACGCAAATGTGAAAGTGAATGGCTTGCTACAGACATTCAGGACACGTGAAACCAGAATCAGGCTTCCATCATCTGCCAGAGCCACCCTAAGATGAAACTTGAAGCTGCAAGAGAAAAATTCGTAAATGATGCACATACATATACACATACGTTCTGAGTTATAAATTGCAGGGGATCATTGTTATAGGAGTACAATGCAATGCTTATAGGCACATACTTGTGTGGCCAGATCTTGAGATCAACTGCACATGGATTAAGTAGCAAGTCAACATGGGTCATGCCACTTTCTGGCAATGGTGGTGGATCACGATCAATGGTCCAAAGCCTGCCCATGACAAATCCACGTTTCTCAAGTGTTTCTTGAGTGCCAAACTATCACAAGGATCAAAATCCAAGAATCAGATTAATTCAGAGTAAGTCTGTACCACCGATCAATTCAAGAACCAAATATCCGAAGTACCTTCGGGAAACATATGGGAATTCCTCCTCGCACTGCATGTGGTGGAGGCTTGTAGACAGCCTACAGTATATTAGATCAGAAAGAAAAAAAACAAATAATTCATCAAAGAGATAGAAAAACCATCAAAAATGGCGAAGAACATTGAAATGCAAGTACGTGGAATGGAATCAAGAAGAACAAGGGGAATTTCATCGAACGGGATATAAACTATCACAAGAACACAAAAATGGCGATTTGACCATATACTTTACTTGTGAATAACGGTAGGTGGAATCAATAAGAGCAAGAATTTCAAAGAACAGATTACAAGAATCCAAAAACAGATTAGAACACCGATAAATAACAACATTTACCTTACTACCCATGAACAACAGTTCTTCCCCACGCTCTGTCTTCCATGATAGAACCTGCCCTCCATGGCAACTAACCTACATTGATTTCACAGAACAAGAAGCAAAGAACGATTAACTCCATTGATAACCAACCATGAAAAGGTACAAGAAAGAGAAAGAAAGATTGCTGACCTCAACAGTAGCCCCCTTAGGATTCCGAAGCAAAATCATCTCAACTCCATTCCCATCCCTTCCAACTTCAACCGATCCTCTCAGACTCTGATCACTGGCTGCCGCAGAACCAGCCATGGCAAAAACCCAAAGCAGGAAACAAAACAAGAAGAAAGAAAACTCTACTGTATATCTTTTACTCTCTTTCTCTGTAAAATGAACTAGAAAATATATGGAGGAGTAGAGGGTCTTATATATAGCAGTTGAGAATCTGGACTTCCCTCCATACTATTTGGATAAATTTTTATCCGAATTTCTCGGGAAATAATAACTAACAATGCAACTAACTACCTTACCCTTTCTTCACCCCTAAAACTGCCAAGAATGGGAAATCCAACAGAATACAAGACAGAAAAGAAATTCTCAAAACAGTCCCAATTCTGTTTCTGTGAAAGAGCTAGAAAACAGAAAAAACGAAACTTTCATCTGGGTTCGAAAGATAACCAAAAAAAAAGGGGTTAATTAATCCTCAACTGAAATTCATCCAAGTGCGCGCCATTTTTAAAGCACCAATAGGAGGGATTTATGTTTTACATATTGTGCATTAAAAATGCAGTCCACTATATGAATTTACTAAAACACATCTAACAAAATAATAAATAAATAATTTTATTAAAAATATTTTAATAAATTTATAAAGTAAACTGTATTTTTATAGTATAATCTGTCATGTAACTGCATTTTTTTTCACAAACATTTATAGTACAAAAAAGGAATGAAATTATGCATTTTTCTCAGGCAAGACATGAATTCAAGGGAACCCATTTTGTATTAGGGAAGGAAGATTCAAAAAAAAAAAATGTTGAATTCTGAGGAGATCATTTATATATGAAAGCGCAAATATTATTCTTTAGACCAAGGAATGAAGGAACCAGTGTGAACAGGGGACCGTGTTTAACTGAATTAACGACCCACTGAAGAAGACAAAAATTCCTTGGGGGGACTTCAATCATAGAGTAACATGAGTGTGTAATTCACATGGAAGTCCCCCAAGGAATTGTTGTATTCCCATAGCCCCAGAAAAATGGATATTGTTACTGAACAGGAAGAGTTTTGATAGTTCATAGAATAATTAAAATCAATACTTGTCCATAAATAAAATGGAAGGAATAAAGGGGTAAGACAAGATACTCTATCTTTTTTCTTCCTCGACTACCGATTGATCTTCACTTTCGGGTTAATGGGTATTAAGGGGTGCCCTAGATTTAGGGGTAATTATCTCTTTATCTTACATAAATACAAACAACTGCAGTCTATGGTTCGTAAGGATATTAAACGGCCATAGTCTGTAGAGGTAACGAGGCAAAAATGGTCGATGCTAATTAACAACATCCAAAGGACATCCTGCCTTGAATCCTCGTATTCTCCAGCCCTTCTTTCTCAAAATTTCTGAAATATTAGAACTTTAGAACATCTAGTAAGACCGCCAAAACCCCTTATTTGCATCCTATACAATTTTTCTTTTTGTGATTAATACCCTAAATTAATTTTTGTCACGATTAATACACTTTATTATTCAAAATCCATGAAAAACCCAAAAATTTATAGTTAAATCCTTTATTTGCACCTTGATTTTGTGGTCGACCCTAAATTAATTTTTGTCCTGATTAATACACTCTACTATTTAAAACACGTAAAAAACCCAAAATTTTATGATCAAACCCTTTATTTGCATCTTGATTTTGTGATCAAACTTTTTATTTGCACCATGATTTTGTTGGTAATTTGAGATTTTTTACGGATTTTAAATTATAAAGAGAATTGATTAGGATAAAAATTAATTTAAGATATTGACCACAAATATATATATATATATTAGGGTGCAAAAGGAGTATTCAGCCCTAATAAGAGGGGAGGGAGTAATTAAATTGTCCGATGCAATAGTGCTATTTTTTGTGATTCCAAGTCCAGTGGTTTCAAAGTATATATTCACTCTAGAATAAACAAATATTTTCCTGAGTGCTCTTGCTGTGTTTTTCTCTATTTGGGTTTATTCATTTCTGGTATGAATTTCTTCTGATAAAATTTTAGTTTTTGGTAGGGACAAGGCTCAAGGGAAAAGATTTTGTCTTCTGGGTATGGCCATTTACTGGGCTCACTGTTTTATTTATTGTGGTTAAAGAAATATTTGGTGTTTATTGATGATCACTGATGTTTGCCTCCAAAGGAATGAATTTTATTTTGGTTTATATTGATTAGTTGTTGTTGATGTTTACTAATGCTTACTGCATTTTAAGTTGGAAAATAAAAAGAATTTTTTTTTTCTAATAATCTTGCTTCTGTTGAAATATAGTTTCTTGATTTTTATTAATTGATTACTTTCTTTTATTTGTAATTCGTAGCCATTTACTGCTGTTCTCTTGCTACTTCTAGAATGCAGGACCACTTTGAGTAGGTAGGAACATGACAAACTGGTGATAGGATTAAGGGATTCAACGATGGCATAAAAGATTTGTCTACATCTAGCTGAAATTACAATGAATTTTTCATTATCATTAATTATTTCTCTTAATTATTCCAGCTTATTTTGTTTTTCATTTCATTTTCTCATATGCTTATGTAATATGGGTCAAGGGCATGGTGCGAGGGTATGCATTTACATTTCTAGGTATATTCAGATTACCATAAAAGTTCTGATCTTTGGCATACCTTTTCTTTTTCTTTTTTTTTTTGGGCAGAAGCAAATATATTGTATTTGGAAACACCAATTTGAGTTGGGATCTCCACTGAATCCTTTCTTTTATGGGTCTGTCAGTGACAAGATCAGTGGTAAACATCTATATATCCTTAATCTACTAAGACTCATAATTTCTATATTGAATATATAATTTTGATACGTGAAAATAAAGCAAGCAATCTTAGTTTTTTCTTTTTTCTTTTTTGTTAGCAATAAATTTTTGCTCTTCAATTTAACAAAAAAATCAATAACAAAAAATATCTATATAAAAGAAAAGGCTCTACGAAGTTAATCAAATTGCCAGCAATTTTTTATAAAAAAAATTAAACAAATTTATAATCACACATCCAAGAATTTTAAATTTGATGATCATAAGCAAAAAAGCCAAACAATCACAGAACTTTGGTTGAAAAAAAAAAAGAAAAAACCCATAGAATTCATCTCCGGTTTTTTTTTACTCTCTGTTTTCTCTTTCTGGTGACTGCATCTATATAAATAAGAAACAAATCGTAGCCCTAATGCTATACAATTGAAAAAATATTCAAAAATAAGTTAAATTAAATCTTATTAATAAAGAATCATGAATAAATTTTATAAGAAATCAAATTGTGTTAAGGCTGAATGGGTATTTAGTAAAGATTTATTTAAAACTCATTAAGTATTGATTAAGAATTTTTATAAGATTTAATAGGTATTTATTTAAGAATTTTAAAATAAATTTTGTTATTATAGTAATTTTATATATAGTTAAAATTTAAAATTAAGCGTCCAATGGTAGTCGAAAAGCACCAACTTGCATCCTCCTCCCCGTAAGACTAGGCTTCTTCCATATGATCTAAGTCATTTTCTTGAATTTAGTTTCATTATATTATATTTGTTATAATCAGTATAATATAAATAAACCAAATTGTCGTGGGCCTATAGCTATGGTCACTATTAATTTTGTTATAATCATTAAAATTATTAAATTTTTATATTAATTTGATTAATTAAAATAATTAATACTATTTTTGTTCATTTTTAATAGATTTAATTTAACTTTTACTCTTTAAAACATAAATTTTATATAAAAATTTAACAATATATATGAACAATAATTAAAATTTTTT